ATTACCATTTAGGACAGATCAAAGCATTGTGTACATCAACCACTCATACAGTCCCAAGTGTTTTGGGTGGGTAAATGGAATGGTAATTAGCTTTTGGTTCTTATTACTGGTTATGTTTTCTAAACACATCCAGCATCTTGAAATCCCCCTTTCACCTCTCTTTACTGCACAACCATTTAACCCATGCTTTGGGGAAAAACTGTGACTGAAAGTAACAGGCCATTTCCTGTTTAAAGATTGTGTTTAACTCTTTTGTATGTATTTCTTTTTTAGGAATGTATAAGGATATGTTACTGCAGAATGATGCTGTAAGGTGGTTTACTGTCCTAATAAAAAAACAAAAAAACCCATAAAACTAAAGAGCTAATGTACCAGGCAAATAATGGTGCAATATTTGTTGGAAAATACTGGTTACTTTTGCCAAAAATGAACAACAAGTTTAGAGTATATCCTTTGAAGTACAACTTGTGTTTATCAAAATGATACTCCAAAGGTGTTCAGAAATAATAATCTGACTTATTTTGTGTCTGCAGGGAACCTTAGTAGCATGCTTAATGGGCATTCTGCAGCTTATGTCCGAGATACACTACACCAAGCTATGGGAGGAACACTTGATCTCCGGCACCCATCATCTGCGCCACCTTCTATACTCGACCATCGTGCTGCTGGCAGACCTTGTGAGAGCAGCGGTGTTTCCAAGTGACTGGTTTGTCATGCGCATGGTTACCAACCACACTATATTGACAGCTATGCAGGAGATTGCACAGCCACTGATTTCAACATTTTTGAAGTCGGGAAGATTTGACAACCAGGTTAGTGTTTTTTTTAAATTTCATTTCTTTTTCTTCTTTAGTATAAAAGCTTAAAGGAAAGTTTTTCCTCTGCTTTTTTAATATTCTAAATTTTGATGATAAAATGATAATGACATTACTGACAATTATCATAATAAAAATGATTATGAAATTGCAATGAGATCAGGATAACTGTGTCAGTGATAAGGACCACATATTAGTGAAAATAGCAGTATTGATTATGATAGTAATGATAGTGATTATAATTATAGTACTGGCAATAAAGATTGTTAGAAATTAAAATAAAAAAAGATAATAGATAAAAAAACTAATAATTATGATGGTATTGATAGGTACAAACGGAGAAGATTTTATACATTATATTTTTTTCAGGTTTGGAGTAATTACCTGAATCTAGCTGTTGGATTCTTGACGCAGCCTTGCCTCCAGTTGGAGCACTTCTCACAGCAGAAACGTCACAAGGTTTTGGAAAGATACAATGACATGAGAGTCCTTATGGGCTTCCAGATACTTTCCATGTGGCATAATTTGGGTGAGGAGTGTTCTAGTTTGAAAGAGAAATATTTTTGTTTTATTCATATTTAATGAATAAGCATGGCTTGGTTTTTGAGTGACCTTGATCATTATGGACCCTCATTGTATTCAGTCAAGTCATAGTAAGAATTACATAAGATTTGGCATCTTGTTTGAATTTATGTTTAGAAACTTTTATGTCATAGAACTGGATTTTTTTTTTGGGGGGGGAGAATATCTTGCATCATCCCTCTTCATCCTTCTTCAGATGAGCACCGGCTGCACTTCATACCTGGCATGGTGGGCCCGTTCCTGGAGGTGACACTGGTGCCGGAGCCAGAACTGCGCAAAGCAACACTGCCCATATTCTTTGACATGATGCAGGCAGAACAACAAGCAAAAGGCAATTTCAAACAGGTTAGAATCTACAAATTTGTTATCTACAATTTTGAAACCATATAGTGATCTTAGCTTATATTAAGGCTGAGGATTGTTAAAAGAAAGAAAAAAAAGAAAAAAATGGTTTGCACAGTCAGAAATCTTTGTTAACCAATATTTAATCCCCAATGAACATACAATTTTTCTATTTTTGTATTCTAACAAACATTCTTGATTTGATAACAGTAAAACTTAAATTTTGCTGGGAATAGATGGGAATAAGTGAATATCATATGTCACCTAGCATGAATAGTTTAAATTTCTGATTAAAGAATAACATGCTTGGATGGTTACCAACATCAGGAGCATATGACCAAGCTATATGACAATTGAAGATAAGGAGTGGAGTATCTGTAACTTGGCTGAGACAAACTGCTTGTTTATTTTTTGGGAGATCTTTGATTTTTGAGAAGTATTACTTATTAATAATTTTTTCTCTTTTAGGTTGAGACGGAACTTATAGATAAGCTTGATATATTGGTAAGCGAAAACAAGGGTGACGATGAATACCGTCAACTTTTTAATACGATGTAAGTATATTTTTGTATTTGATGTTATATTATGTTGTTAACTTCTTGAATTTATGATTTAAGATGTTTGATATTAGAAATAAACATCTTTGGGAATGCAGAGAAATATTTCAAAGGAGTTAATACTTAGGAAGCTGATATATTTTTGTTTTATATAAAGAAGTAGTATCATTTACTAGTTAAGAGAAAATATTGTAAAAAAGGTTGTAATATGTTCTGAATGCTTTGTAAATACTTTCATAATATCAATATTATTTTTTTCCATGCTATATCTTTTAGGGAACATTTAAGTGCTGTGTAAGTTAACAAATGATGTTTTTTTTGTAATTTTAGCAAATACTCTTTCATCAGTAGATTTTGAAGTCTGGTTTATTGCTTGTTTTATCTATTTGTATGATTTTCATGTTCTGATTGCCTGTTATTCATTCATTTATCAGTTCTGTCTTAGTATTGTAAGAACATTATTCTGATTTGTGTAGATATGAATTAATAGCTTTCTCAGCATTTCAAGTTGTAGATATGTTGCTCAGGAATCACATTGATTTTCCTAAATCCTCCCTCCCCATAAAATATATTTAAGGAAGGCATGAATAATGGTTGTCATAAATAATTTCAGTACAAGGATCTAGATAGTTGTTATTTTTACAAGACAAGTGACAGTGCATTCCAAGTCAGGTCTGTCTTAAAGTCATTATAGATTAATAAGCTATAAATCTGTATGTTCATATGGATTCCTGTGAGAACTGTTCCTATATGTGTGGTTATTTCACAACTTTTTCTTGTATAGTGTTGATTTTTTTTGTGATCCTTTTCCTTTTTTTTGCATGACATTCTAGGTGCACAGTAAATGTAGTTGATGTATAGCCAGTCTGAACAGGTTTGTCTCATACCTACTCTATTTCTGACAGACTTTTGGAGCGTGTACGTTCAAATGACCCAGTATGGAGAGAGAGTGGAACAGCTTTTATCAACTCTGTTACAAGGCTCTTAGAAAGGCTGTTAGACTACCGCAGTGTGATGCAGGGGGATGAAAACTGTGACAAGCGAATGAGTTGCACAGTTAACTTGTTGGTAATTAATTGTGATTTATCAGTAATGATAGAGCAGTATTTTTTCCCACTTAGTGTATTTTGAAAATAAAATAATAAAATTAAAAGGTCGCAAGTATAACTGCCTAGAAGAAACTCAGAATGAATGATATTTTTAAGGCTTATACCCTAATTTTGGGTTTGCTGTTACCATCACAAATATTTGAAGATTGCACATATGTCAATAAGATTGGTATACTGTATACTGTAATCAGGATTTTTTTTCAGAAACGGTAATTAATTTCCTTCACACATTTTCAGAACTTCTATAAGAATGAAATTAATCGACAAGAAATGTACATTCGGTACATCTACAAGCTCCATGATCTCCACCTCCCAGCAGGCAATTACACAGAAGCTGCCTTCACTCTGCAGCTGCATGCAGATCAGCTCTCATGGACACAGAGGATGCTGCATGCAGATCACTTATATCAAGCACAGACGGAAACTCAGCGAAAAGAGCTAATTTATATGAAAATTATAGATTACTTTGACAAGGGCAAGGTATGGAGATACAGATTAACTTCAATTTATTGGACATCATAAAATAATCAGACAAAGATATACTTACCTAAGAAAAGTCTTGAGAATTATAGTTTGAGAAAGGTCAGACAATTCTTTTAATTTAAATTTGTTATTTACATAAGAACAGTTGGATATTTATATTGTCTATATCTTTCAGTGCTGGGAGCAAGGCATTCCCCTTCTTGAAGAATTAGCAGGACAGTACAAAACCAGATTGTTTGATTATCAGAGACTAAGTGAGGTATTAAAACGTCAAGCTTCATTCTATGAGAAAATACTTAGTGGCAAGAGATATGATAATGAATATTTCCGTGTTGGATTCTATGGCCTGGGTCTTCCTCTTTTTGTGCGGGTAAGTTTTCTGCATAGTGCCTCTCTGATTCAGCTCTAGACTGACTTGGTTGTGGTATCCATCAGTCTTGAAATTTATTTGTTGGAGCTAAATGTTTCATACTTTCACTTTTGGTTTGTGTGAATAAAAGTGATTACAAGCATGATCGATGATAATATAAAATGATGATAATGATTTTCCCTTTTCAGAATAAAGTTTTCATTTACCGTGGATTAGAGTATGAGCAGATTGTGGCTTTCACCCAGAGGATTCAGACGGAATTTCCTCAGGCTAAAATGCTGCACCACAATACTCCTCCTGATGATACTATCCGCTCATCTGATGGACAGTATATCCAGGTAAATTTAAGTTGGTTTCTCTTAAGAATTTTAAAATGTTTTTTCTCTGTGTTTCTCAATTTTATTACTTTTACTCCGTATGATATGTTTTGTGATTTATTTTTTTACACATTTTATTCAACATTTACAGTATCCAATGGTATCCAAGAGAGCTATAATCTCTTGTCAGCCATGCTCCAGCCAAGCAACAAAGTCTGTAACTAAAATTGAAAGTGACCCTGTAAAATGTGCACTTTTGCAGCCTAGATCTTTAAGACACCTCTTGTCTAGTGCATTATGCCTTGCAGTCAATGGGCCAAACAAGCCACTCCTCTTATGTGCTAGTAATATTGCTGCTTAGACTAGAAATGTATTTAGTAGTTTGTTTTCCCAAGTGGCATCCAATAGCATAGAGTTTTACAAATTGTTTTGTGGAAGTGACCTTTCTCAAGTCTTTTGAGACTCCCTGTAGAACTTCTTGAGTAGCAAGTAATCGGGAAAATGATGCTATATAGGGAGATCACAGCAAAGATGCTTGAGTGTTTTGCACTTGAAGTGCCAAGAAGGCCAAACTGTTAAACATTATTTTGTAATATGAATTCACCCATTCATGATAGACAAGATTTTGAGTAAAGTTTGGCAAGGCTTAGGGTGTGTTAGCATGTGCTGCTCCCCATGTGAGCTGTTGTTTTGTTCATAACTAGGCTCCTGAGGCATCATCCCAGCCACTGGGACCAGGGCTCATCACATAACTAGATGTCATCTAGAGTGAAGGAATTTTCACCATGACATGATTAAATGTCACCAAGCAAGAGTGTAAAATTTTCTGTCATACTTTAATCCCAGTGTGCTGGTTGTCACTTTACTACCTTTACATAACAAGCTGCTGCGTATCCATCAAAACACATAACAGAGCACACTGAACCCCATAGAAGCTCCAGAATGATGGTACTTTTAATGAAATCATTTTTTTAACATTTGGATTTGTGGTTCTAGGAAGTATAGGGAGTTTAAATCAAGCAAAAATATAGTAGAGTAGTCCATGTATGTAACCTGCAGCTTGCAAGGGTGAAAATTACTGATGATATCAGCAGTTATTTATATTTCTATGTAAAACAGTTTTTGGTAAAATATCTTTTATCACCTAATAGTTTTGAAGAAAAACAACTTTAAACCTCTATAAAGATGTGAAATTGCAGTAGAACCAATCAGACTCTGAATCAAAAATTTTATACTTCTAAACTTCCTATATTTCACCCATTACTAATGAGTACATGTACTGTGCACAGTAGTTTTATTTTATGAATTTTGTTTGCACACAGATGGCTCCACAAGTACTCAGACACCATGAACTCAATGATGAGCAGGCTTATGTGACTTCACCTGATTATTTTTGCTAATGCTATTAATATCAATACTGTTATTGTTATTATTGTTATTGACATTATGGTTATTCTAATGTTACCAGCAACACTGATAGCAAAAAAATAAGAAAGGATAGAATCATGACAATCATACAGGCATAGGGTGAATAGACAAGGTAGTACTTCATGATTAGCTCTTGTGGATCTATCTATGTTGAGACAAAAGGAATGACTTAAAATCACAGTGGGCATATGTGCGTACATACCTTGCCAGCATCAATGGGTCAAAGGCAATGAACTTTTGACAATTTTGGTGGCCTTTTTTTTTCTTCTATATTCTTTTTTTTTCGTTTTCGGACTACTCCAACCTATAAAATGTAGATGAGATTAATGTAAGAGCATAAATTTCCAGCTGTATGTAACATATATTATTAGTTGAAATGAAGTATATACATTTGATATTTTTCCTGTATTAAAAAGATAACACAATTAATACTAATTTTTCACTTTTCATAAGAGCTATTCTTTGCTTTCTATCATTTTGAAGTATTTCCTAAATCAGATATTTTACAGCAGTTCTGTTATGAAAATTCTCCAAATTTTGATCATAATAAAGTCGGAACTGTTGTTTTGCTGGAATTGTGTGTTATCATTTCTACTTTTTTCCTCAGGAGTGTTGCTTATAACCCAGTTTAGAAGTAGTGGATATTCAAAGTAATCCTCTCTGAATTTTTTTTTTTTTTGTGATATTTCAAATGCCTTTCACAACTTCATCCACCAGCTTTACAAAAATGCTCTTCAGTAGATTGATAATGCCATTTACAATTGGGCATTTTGTTCCTATTGAATAGATTGTTATAATCTTTGAGGATTTTACATCAAGTGATAACATCCATTGAAGTTATTCGTTTAATTGATAGATTTTGTATTGGATCACAGATAAGCCAGATACATGTACATATATATATCTATATGGCTCTCTGCGTGCGTGCGTGAGTGCGTGTGTGCGTGTGTGTGTGTGCGTGTGTGTGTGTGTGCGCGCGTGTGTGTGTGTGTGTGTGTGTGTGTGTGTGTATGTGTGTGTGTGTGTGTGTGTGTGTGTGTGTGTGTGTGTGTGTGTGTGTGTGTGTGTGTGTGTGTGTGTGTGTATACATATGTATGCATATATATATATATATATATAAACATATATGTACACACATATAGACATATATAAAACATGTATGTATATATATTTTGTATATGTGTGTATATATGTATATGTGTATATATGTATATAAATATATGTATACAAGTATTTATGTATATATGTATATGCATGCATATGCATTATATATATATATATATATATATATATATATTATATATATATATATATATATATATATATATATATATATATATATATATATATATATATATATATATATATATATATATATATATATATATATATATAACTACATTTGCATATGCCTGCACATATACAAAAGGGTGTGCATATACAAAATGCAGTCATAGACACAGACACAAACAGACAGAGGCAGACAGATAGAGACTC